TAAGATATTCAATGCCTCAAACACTTATTCTTTTGGAGGTTCAGAATTGGTTTTCATTGTTCTTACAAACTTTCACTCATTTGTATGTGTACCATTTTTTGAACTTACTTTTTGTTAATCTCTTCTATTCCTGTATTAATTGTTTTTAGTTGTTCTCTGAATCCTTCAATTTTTAACTGCTATGGATAACAGATACACACATAGTTTATAATATCTGTTTTGTTAGGTGGCCCCAAATCCGCATTAAGGTAGTTTGAGGCCCTGGTACACTTATTTTTTTGAGGCCCCTTGAATAGGGTACAAGCAAATTTGAAGTTAATTATAATGAATACATATTAAGTTAATTACAGAATATGAGCTAATTATTCGAAGTAAATTAGAATATGATGCATCTAACTTTTAAGGATGACATATTAAAATTAAACAATTATGATAATAATAATAATGATAATTATTTACTTGTACAACATGGCAAGTAAGAATGAATTAAGTACATAAAAAATAATATAGTTATTGTACAACATTATGGAAGCAAAATGTCTAATTACATCTTCATAATCTATTTGCCTAAGCAATGCCTTTTCTATCATGAGCAAGGAAAGGGCATTTAAGTGTTCATTTAACATCGAAGCATGCAATTCATTTTTTACTCTAGCCATTTTAGAAAAAGCTCTCACTGCACTGCAATTCTTGGCGGGTAGGCACAAATATATTCTTAATGCTACGTCAACATTATGAAAAACAGATTTGAGTTTGTTTCTTCTGATTGCTTTGATGCATTGTTTGGCAGATGGTGTTTCACACTAAAAAAATTTTGCAAAATGTACCATTTCATCGGGAAAAGAGCCATCTAGATCTGGAGAGAATATGTCTCCAAATCTTTTAGCTGCAGCAAAAATTTTAGTCTCATTTAAATTTTTGAAATTAGATAGAAAACCAGACTTCATTTCTGTCACTTTATATGCAGCAAACTGATTTTCCGAACACATTTGTAACTTGTCAACTACCGGTATAAAATTTTCTATGCAAAACTTCTGAGTTCCAGATAAGCTAATTTCACCTTCAGAAGTCTCATCATTTGCCAACTTTCTTTTTCTCTTTCTGGAAATCTCACTCCTAAAACTGTTCTTTGACTATATTTGAAAGTTGATGATCTTCAATTTCAATACTATCAAATTCTTCACATAGTGAATTTACATGTTTTTTCAGTGAACTAATAAGCTTTACAGCAGTAGAAAAATCAAGGCTGTTTTCTTGAAGCTTAGCACTTGTAGCATTAAATCTCTGAAGAATTTTATATCAAACACTGTTTTGAAAGCAATATCTAACATTCTCATTTTATTCATCAAAGCAGTAGTTTCATTTCTTACTGTTTTAAACTGTTTAGTGTAAAGAAATGTTCTTTCCTGCTACAATCTGAAGTAATTTATTTTTATTTTATTTTGGTGGTTATGAGGTCGGCCAAATTGATCTAGTCTGTATTGAGTAAGAATACAACAAAGAACAGAAAATAGAAGATTTATCAAAAAAAAAGAGAAAGTTAAACTGACAGTCTGGGTTGTCAGTAGAGGTCCCTCACTGCTTGGGGCCATGGCGCAACTGCACCACGAATAATATGGCCTTGGTTGACCCAATGCTTTTGATATGCTGTACTTAGATTAGAGCCATCTTTGTTTATCTTTCACCTTGAATACTTCTTTTTATATTTTTAGTTTCAGAGTCATTAAAGTTCCAAAACATACATATCTCTGCTCCTACTTATAGCTATTACTCAATGGCCAGGGTTTCATCTTTGCCCATCTAAGCATTGGTTTGATTTTTTCTCCCTTGTACTAGCCTTTTATACCACACTCAATTGCCCTTGGCGATATGTCTCTTGATACTCTTCATACATGAAAATTGTGGTTCATGCTGGAAGGTTTATTTCTTAGTTATGTGAGGTGAGTTACACCTTATCCAATATGTTGTCGGAACTTCAGGATTTTGCCCACCACCACCAGGGGGAGGCATTTTTCCAGCTCTCAATTAATTTCTGCTCCTTGACTTTCCGCAGTCTAAGGCTGTGTTTGTAGTTCACCTATATGAGCCTATGTCCCCCGATGGAACATAGTAAGCCTACGGACTTATAATTCACCTTCAATATTTTATTTCCTTTCAAATTTCTTTGTTAGAACACTCTCAGGATCACCAGTTTCATTGAGGATGAGCTGGATCCATTGTTAGCATGCACATTGGTTCAATTTTCAGCTTCTACATTCCTCCCAGTTGTTGTTGGAGTCTCTAATTTCATCAGCTCCTACAGGGGGGTTATAGTTCTGCCCCTATTCGTGAGTATTGATCCCCGACATCAGCTACTCGGTACATTGGTACTCAGAATAGATTCTGTCTATATCCAAGGTTCCACTGCTTAGTCAGGTGCTGTAGGGGCTCAGGTCCAAGATTTTCTGGATGTGTGGTGATCTTACCCATTGGTCCAGAAGCTGCAGGTCCTTGAGTCACAATTTAGTCATTCAGATCACATTTTCCCAACCATTATCCACCCAACATCTGTGGGGTTTCTGTCTCCCGCAGTTCATCGGGATTTGGAACTTAGTTCTAGGGTTAACTGAGTCTGGTTGGTCTGGGGTTAATGAGAGTGTCGTGCTAGTTATTCAGAGTTTTATTCCTGTTAGTTATTGGATCTATTAAGACAGGATTTTGGTGTCCATTCATCAGTCTTCCTTGTCTATACCAATGCATAGATTTTCCATAGTTCACAAGTTAATCATTCTTCAGTCTATGTTGATTTCTTTTTACTGGGATGGTGAATGTCCCCTTCCTCCAATATCTTTATCTCACATTACTTGTCTGATCCGGCAGTCTCTTCATCTGTCTTAACTATTTCTATTAGATTATACAGAGGTGGAGGTGGGGGAGTATTTTTATTTCTACCTTTCAGTGCCCCTTACCTTGTTCTCACAGGATCCCACTCTGTTGTGAGTTTTGCCCAGACAGATGTGTTTTTATCAAACCAATTCTGCACTAGCAACCACTATTTCATTGTAATTACTACTGGTTGTAACAGGCTCTGGAGAAATGAGGTATTTCATAAGACCACCTAGGAGCTCACCAGGTGGTATTACCTTACTATGGTGGACTGCCTTTCATTGACTATCATGAGTAAAGCTAAAGGAGATCTTGCCCGTCCCTGCTGATCATCAGATTGAATAAATTGGGGTCGGTTTGCTTTTAAAAATTTAGGGTACTTGGCTCACCTATTGCACTGTTCCTCAGGACTCGAAAACATGCATTACCCCCCAGATTCTACTAGTGGAGCTAGGGAGTCCTTACCACACCCAATTTCCAGTCACTGGGGTGGTGGACAGAGATTTTTCCTCCAGAGTGTTATAGTGAATTCCTCCACTCTTGAAGAAGAGGGTGAAGTTGGGGACCCTCCTACCCAGATCCCTGGATGTTTTTTTCCCAGATGTTGGTAGGAGTGCCACCAGCCTATGCAGGAGCCTACTCATAATACTGGTTCAGATTTGATGCTCTGCTATCCAGTTGGGGTGTGCATGGGCCTTCTTTTTTGATCAATATTAGTTCAGTATATCTCCTCTTAATTCTGAAAGCAGTGTTGTCATATCCTGGGACATTGATTGAGCACAGTTGTTCCATGTCCTCTCCATAATTCCAGAGGAAAGTGGAAGGTTCCTTGCCCATCAGTTGGGGAGTGAAGAGGAATGTTCATAATTCCAGACCAGATGAGCTCTGTTCCATTGATTGAGTAAGGCATACATGATCCTGTTATTCAGAGCCTGGAGTGCTGCCTTTTGTGCTTCTTCAAGTGAGTAGAAGCTTTGTCCAGTGTTACTTACTTTCTTGTCGTGATTCTGGTGGTTTGAAACACATGACTTTATGTCTACAAGTTGGGATCCAATCAAAAGTGTATCTGTATATAACATTGTAGTCCAATTGCCCTAGCCACCAATGTGGGATATAGGGACCAAGACCCACTAATTCCAACCCAGAGTAGTGGAACCTCGGCTATCTGGTTGGGGCTGGCCTATAGTGATGATCACTCATATACAATTCCACACACGATACAGGAATTAAGTTCAGGGTGAAGAACATATCTGTTCTGGATGTAGTGCAGTTCCCTCACTCAGGTACCACTTATCTTGGTACATTCATGATCTATGCAGATGCTTTCTGTATACATAATTTCTTCACTGGCCCCTTCACCTTTTCATTGTGGGATTCTAGCTAAAAGTATGAATGGAGGTATGTATGTTTTGGAAGTTAACATTTTCCTAAATTAAAAATGTATTTCAAATCAAAGTTACCTCATCTCACACTCTCCCTCCCTTTTTCCCCACTAAGAGCTGGTATTAGAGACTGCAATAGTATCAGTCTCAAAAAGTGATGAAATTATCTGAATGGGGTGCTTATATACAATACCAGGACAGAGGGTGCATTGACGTAGGTGTAGAGTATCAAGAGACATATATATTGCCTAGGGGAATTGTGTGGGATATTAAAGACTGGAGCAAGCAAGTCAAAATCAGACCAATGCTTAGATGGGCTAAGATGAAGTTCTGGTGGTCAAGTAATAGCTATAAGTGTGAGAGGAAGTAAGTATGGCTGGAAATACATTTTTGATTTAGGAAGATCTTAACCTTCAGGTTTTTCAGTTTAAAGTTTTGGCCATATTGTGTGAAATTAATAATTAAAATACTAATAAAGTTCTCTAGTAAAGCCGTTGGAAATTTTTGTAAAATTTTGTTGTTGCTGTAGTTAAATGTTGAAGAAACTAATTTTTCAAAAAAATTGAAAAGACAAGTTATTTCCATTTTAAAATGTTGGTAAATACCATTTTCTATAATTTTCTCTTTGTTAATTGCTGTTTCTTGATGTATTTAAAGTCCTATACTGCTAATCAATAATGTTTCATGTACAGTGTGGGATGACTTTTATTAATTTCTTGTCAGCATTAAACTGTGTGTTTTTGTTATTTACAGAAATTTCTCAGGAAACTTCCAGGTGGTATTTTTGGTCCACAGAATGAAGATAGGCTCTTCAATATCATTGATCTCGAAAACACAGATGAAAAACGTGATGAAATTCATAGGTGAGGAAAAATATAGATGAGAAAACAACAGTTAAGAAATTAAGTACTTACAGTTAAGTTATGATGATCAGATATCAGTTGTTGTTGATGTGATTAGTAGTCTATATACAATCACTAAGTTCTTTTTTAGCAACAGCAAGATTGGTGGCTTGCTCTTTATCTTTTCATCTATTCACATGAAAATAGTTTCAGATAGTGACTGATGCTTTCATGGGATTTTCTCACCAAAATATGTTTGTTTGTCTGAAGATTGGAAATGTGAGAATGGTCTTGTGAGTTTCACTGGTCCATAGTTGATTACAATAATGAAAAATGTTGTTTGATATGTTCATATGGTGAATAAAGTTTTTGATAGATGTAGCTGTGATGAATGCAGTAATTATTAGGTGAAATTTTTTAGCATGAAATGAGAGAGTTGTGCATAGTTTTGTTATTAACATCACTATCTCTGCTTAAAGTTATGCCAGTCTGTCAGTATTTTTATCAGACCTCCTTCATGTGGGTTGATATTTGAATCCATACTTCCAGTTCGTAATTTAATGTATTTTTTTAGTTTAGAGCTGTGATTTTTTTGAACAGCTGTAAACCTCACTTTGGTGGCTTTTGTCTTTCTAATATTTGTATGTTTTTGACTATTGTAAAAAAAATTTAAGTGCTCTTAATTTTTAAGATCTGAGCCTTTTTAAACTACTACTCCCACTTCTGATGTAAATGGCTTTTTCTGGTTCTGTTTTGAATTGACAGATGATTTACTATACCTATATTTAATAAGGGGATGAAATTCCACTTTTCAGATATCAAAAGCATGTTATATGCTCCAATACAATTACAGTGTTAACTAAGACTACTGAAGTTATTCAATAAAAACCTGAGAGGCTAAGTTTTTTCACCTAATTCATTGATCAAATCAATTACCAAACATTAAACATGCTAACTCTACAACTCTAAAACAAGATTATAAAAATGTAATCCTAAACTATAACTAACTATTTATCACTTCCTCTCTTTTATAAGATCTTTTATCTAACCATACTTCATTGAAGAAAATTTTTGAAGATGATATCCTAAACCAAACGTTACAGTCAGTGGATTAGTTCTGTGTCAAGGAAAACATTGTAGAGAGGTTAAATATTTTACATATTTGTTGCATCAGGCCATTGGTCCTACTTGTCGTTAAAGTCAAGATAACATTAGAGTAACAAAGTTGTCAATTCCTTTTTCTTTTTTATTGGTCAGGTGACAATGCTTAAATTGTAGTTGTGCATAAAAGATCAGAAAGACTAAAAGGTTAGTCGTAAGGGGTAACTCAGAGGAAAGGATGTCAAACTTCATTTTAATTATGAGATTTTGTAAAGTTTGGCAAGTATACAAAACTATGGTACTCATTGTTGGATTCTCTATTATAAATCTCAAGTAGGCACTCACCATTTGATGTTTGTTTTTTCTGACATCATACTTTGTTCTCCTGAAGAAGAATAGTCAACTATTCGAAAGTGCTTGAGTTATGGGTCTTATTTTAAGTCTAAAAAAATTGAAATATTGTATTTTTGAGAGGCTTCTGTATTGTTTAAGATATTTGTAGTTATATAAACTTTTATACCTTAATCTTTGGCATCTTAGATACTGGGTTATGGATAGTAACCTTGTGAGTCTCTGATTGCATGAATTATTCTAGTAATGGGTTTTTTTAAAAATTGATTAAGAAGGGTAACTACTGGATGATTGTTTTGAACCTGATGTTTAATAGAGAAAGAACCTTGGTGCCTTTTGGTATTGAGTACATGTTCTTATTAACTGTTAATTATTTTTAATTTTAAAGTGTGCTTGAATAAGTACAGTATAATATGAGTTCCCTAATAGGTACAGCATAATATGAATGTCTGAATAACTACAATATAAGTGCCTGAATAAGTACAGCATAATATGAGTGTCTGAATAACTACAATATAAGTGCCTGAATAACTACAGTATAATATGACTGAAGCTATAAATCTACTAAAATGACAGTGCAATGTAAAAATTGAAATATACAGTTGATGTACATTTAAATGTGTTTGAATAAACATAACTTTGTGGGTATACTTACACAGCATGGTCACA